GCAGCTGCAAAACTGGTTGTTTTGCAAGTGCTGTGTATAGATACAAGGATGAATATGCTTGTGGACTTATTAAAATCAGTGGAAGGACTCCCTCTGGTTCACTGGGCACGTCATCAGATATTAGGCACCTGGATTTGAAAAATGAATCTCGGCAGTTCCATACTGACTTGTCAAATTATTACAAAAACTGAGATGAAGGAATTCAGAAATCATAAATTAAAACGTGTTATGACAGCTCTGTCCAATTTGCTTTCCCCAGCACAAGATGTAACGGCACATTACAAGGGTCAGTGCTGGAACTGTGCAGAAAATCAGTGTGTTCTGAATGAAGGAGCAATAAAATAAAATTTAGAGCAGAAAGTTCAAAACCTTTTGAGCATATTTAATTAACATAGAAATGTTTTTTAAAAAACATTAGTAAAGGTTGTCACTGATCACAGACTTTTGCAAAGCCATGGAGAAAAGATAGTTTAAAGACTGGTTCAAGTGGGAAGTAAAACTTTGATAAATTTGACTCTGCGTATACCTCAGTACTTCCCTTCCTTTGATCATACAGCAGGGGTTTGTTTCCAGAGGGGTCTCATGTTTCACAGTATGCCCCTTGAGGTTTTATGCCCCTAAAATGTGTCTTAACAAAACAGTCCTGATGATGAAACACGATATCCTTTCATGTGAAGCTTAATTACACGGTCTAATGCTATCTGTTTTTCCCTTCCTCTTCATTCATAGTAGGTGAAGAATTTGTTTTCACTTATTTTATCTTTCATTGAACAAACAATTCTTTCGACACTATTTTTGACCTTCTGTTTACCCTAAGCAGTAGAGCTGCACAAATGGAGCTTATAACTGCTTTATAAAAAATAACTAAAGAAAAATTAGCAAATGCTATGGTTAAACCAGTGCTAAGCATTTCTAGTCCTAGAGAAGTGGCCTTGACAGTCAAAACACTGTGTGTATAAAGCTGTGTGTGCCAACATTGATATTCCCAACTCCTAGGGCTCTGCATACAGAGCCATGACTGAAGTGCTGCCACTGATTACTTGGTCGTACCCCAGTGCTGTCCTAGCTGGTGATCTTTTAAACTACCAAAGCTCCAGAGAGAGAAGAATGATGCAACACTGGGAAAATGGATATGAGAAGATTGTTTACTTTTTTCTCAAAAAGCCATAACAGGTTTCACACTGTAATTTAAGCGGTTTAATAAATTATAGCATAGTTTAATATTATTTAAAAGTAATTCACTACACTGCAAAGGATACAATGAAAAACTGCTTATTACCATTTCATGTATATTAGGATACTTGTAATTCTGTTTGGAATTCAATCTTTTTGGCGAATCTAGGAAGTAGAATTCTGATTTCTCATTTAAATTTACTTTTATCTATCTTTTACTTACAGATAGTTGTTAATGTATTGAATGCTGAATTTGTGAGGCACATGGAAAACTCTGTTGTAGCTCATCCAGGATTGGATTTGCAGTTTCTTGAAGGGGCTGCTCAGCAGAGCCCACAATTTATCAAGATATAGTACAAGTTGCAGTGAGAGCATCATCTCAAGGAATGAGTGAATATTTTCCATTGTTGAGGGTAAATGGGGATGGAGAAACAGTTTCTTGGTTTCTTGGTTAGTCATGCTCAGAGCTTTGTAAATCTGTCATAAAATAAATAAATAAGTTCAGTTTGATAGCAGTGGACAGGCATGTTCCTTTTGAACATGTGGTGATAGAACCCATATGGATGGTAATAGAACCATCAAGTGGTGTGTGATAACAAATCAGAGTAGTCCACATCTCGTGCAAGAACACAGATTCCCAGTCTCTATTTTCTGAAAACAGGCCACTGATGATTATAGTCAGGGATGCTGTACAAGCCAGTCTTATCCCTTCATAAATACTGGTTTTTGAATCACTTGGCTACTGGAGTAGGATTGCATTGTTTATTTTAAACTAGACTCCTAAAGAGATGTCCTTTCATATAAATCGAATTCATTGCTGAGCTACTGTGTAAACCTGGGCCTTCTTGTGAACATCTCAAGATCAGTATTTTATGGACCTGAGAGAGTTGAAATTGCTAACAAAAGCTAACAAAACAAAAGCTTAACCTCAGGAAGCATTGTCATGTATCAGCTGCCTCCAGAGGTGCAAGTTCTTGATAATGTACAGACCACAATGAGAAGCAGATGCACTTTTGTTTTCTATTTGCAGAATAAACCTTGCCTGATGCATATTTGTATGCTTATATACATACATGTACACATCCTCTTTTGTGATGCAGCTGTGTGAACTGTTTCTGTATTACATCCTGAAACTGTAAAATCTGGTAAGCCTTGAGTTTCTTCACAGTTCACTAGGTAACTCCCCTTGCTGGGAGATGTGTTGATATGGGTATATGTTGCTTATCATGTTTGACATTTAGACATAACTTACTCTTGGTGTGTAACTAACACCTGCTACTGCAAAACACATTGCCTTAAAGTAACAAACCTGTACTGTTTCTGACATTTCATCTCAGCTGAACTGCTTTTTATTGACCTCTGAAAGTGATTCCTGGATAGGGAATTGAAATTGCATATTATACTTTGGTAAATACGTGGGTTTACATGATGACTTTATTATTTATCTTATTCCTAGAAACAGTATCCTATGAAGTGCTACTGATTCAGCTTCAAATTTCAGGGGCAGATCTATAATCAACTATCACCTATTTTAACAGAGCTGTTCAAATATTTGTTTGTTCAAATATTTTAACAAACAGGGAAAGTATGGAGGGTTTTTTTCTTTCACATCAGGCTGTTATATGCAACTTTCATCTACAATTCATCCTTCATCTACAGTTTGTCTTTTGTATTTTTTTCTGACACTAGTAACTAGTTTTTGTTTGCATTCGAACCCTAGGGTGCTGTCTTACACACACGCAGAGGGACAGTATCATTGATTCCAAGGATAGCTTGTGGTTATTAAAGATGTTGGTTTCTATATGTGCCTGCAAGGGTGAAAAATTAGATTAGAGCTTCTGGAGATGTTGTACCTCATCTTGCTTTTATGTATCACTTTCATAAAGCAGAGTAGCTCCATTCAAGCCAAAAGCTGCTCCCTAGAGTAAACATTGTGTGAAAACAGAGACAGCTTTTTCCCCATCGATTCTTCCGTTCTCTTAATAAAAAGTTGTGAACATCTGAGTGCAGTTTTCTGTAGGGTTATTATGAGGGTATTTTTTTATGTAGATGTTGTGCCCTGTTCTGTTCTTTTTACTTAAAAGTTTGAAGATACAGGTGGCTGGGAGTTGTATCTGTTGTGTATTTAAGGGGGATTTATGTGAAGAAACCACATTTGGGGAAAAGAGGACAATTTCTAGAGAAACTTTGACTGTAAGGTAACTAGCTGTAACTAGAAATCGTTGTTGTTTCTATACCATAACAAAGACTGGTGTGTCATGTGTGTCTTCCCCCAACTTCAACCCCCCCCCTAAAACCCCTGCCCCTTGTTTACTACTCAAATGCATTCATTGTTATTGTTAAAGTGTTGAAAATGTGGAAGAGATAAGGCTCTGTGCCATATTCCTGAATTGGAATATAGATATGGGAACTGAAGTGCTGGAGACAGTAGCTCTGTACCAGAAGGGTACTGGCACAAGCAATTCCATTGCCTGGGCCCTGGGCTTACCACAGTAAAGACTTTTTTCATGTGGGACATTTAGTCCCTTCCTAAGGGGAAACACTGTTACTCAGTCTTCATGTATGGTATGGCTATGGTTGGTAGAAGACGCTGAATGGTTTATAAGCACATTCCCAGAAACCCTGCTTTTCTGCAAATGCTTTGGCTGCAGTGCCCCAAACAAGGCTGGCAGAGGAGGGCTGACAGCAGTGGAGGGACAAGGCTGCCTTGAAACACTGCTCCCGTCCTCCACACCAGCCATCTTCAGAGAGCTGCTGATAAGCAGAGGAGCAGCACGTGCCAATGTGTAAATTGCCAGCACAGCCATTCCTTTATAAAAATTGAGTGAATGAAAAGTGGTTCCTTCATAATTTTGGGGTGGCTGTACCCTAGAAGAAATAATTGAGAGCATCTCCCTGCTGTGAGGCTGGAGGGGTTTGCCCTTCAGTGTTTTCTGTGACACTGTCTCTCTTTCTCCAGAATGTATGAATGGTATTAGATTCCAGTTATGATAACTGTAGCAAATTTCCTATTTGGCTATTCTTGCTAATTTTTACATAAATACTTGGTGTATCATGTCATATTATCGTTTACTGTACTGTCACATCCAAGACCTGTAGTTCTCTGCATTGTTACCGTATTTTCTTGTGATTTATCTTTAGCCTTTATTCCTACTTGTTAGCTCATCTTCTGGACCGCCTAGAAGGATTAAATATCAAATAATAAATGTGTGATGTATATTTATATTTGCATCCCTGTGCATGTCTGTGTTTGTTCGTAATCTGCGATGCCATATTGCAATCGTGTATTGATTCATGATGTGTAGCTATTACTTTAATTGAACCATCCTCTTTGTATTCCCCTTGTGGAAGGTGACTCCACAATGTTAGGTCCAGCATAAACATCTGAAGAAGGATTAGTCACATTCAGTGAACGTTTGTTGCAATTTCTATAATTTTATTTCATTTACACCAGTTTCTGGATTTTATTTGATATTTATTTGATTTCATTTTTTCTATCCATAGCATAACTCAAGGAAGATTTTTCTCAGGGGTTGCTAGAATGTTACGATAAGTATGAACTTTTAAGAGACAAACTGAAATAGCTGGTGAATTTGAATGCAGGCATAATATCTTGATCGTTACATTTCCTCTGTCCATTTACTTTACAGTTTTCAACTAATTCATTATCGCTAAAAATAGCTCATGTGAAATAGTTCCACATGAAGATCACAGGGTTTTCTTACAGTTCCAAAAGACAGAACCAGGAGTCAGGAGCTGTTCATTCCCAGTGTGGCGTGTGTGACAGTTGACCAGAGTTAAACCAGTGTAACTATTTCTGCCTACAGTGTTGATGACAGAACTGCCTACCTGGCCCTGGGAGCGGTGAGGAACATCTCGCTTAACATTTTCATCTCTAACATTGGGGATGATGCCTATGACACCAATGTTTTCTTCAATTTTTCTGGAGAGCTCTTCTTCATCAAAATGTGGCAAAAGGTAAGAAAGGCCAGTCTCACTGGGAACAATTCTCTTAACTTAAAGCCAATTTAATTACAAGATTTACGTACAGGGGATGGCCTGGTGCACACTGCTGAGTCATTTGGAGGTTGATTTTGGTTATGTTGGACTTGAATTTCTTTCAGGCTATTTAAGGAGATTTTTTCTTGTATGGGTTTGATGTGTGTAGATTACACCTGTCTGTAGAAGACACATTCCTGTTATTTGCGGTGCACTAATGAAAGACAATTTGTTTGAGGTATTAAGAGGTAGAGGGAGACTGGTTTGGAAACTGCTAAGGTACCAAATGCCACTGAAATACAAAGGGTACCTCTAGTTTGAGTGATGCCACACCACACTGAACAGTCTTGGTCATCTCCTGAACCGGGCTCCTAGACTTACTCCTTGTTGAAACCAAGGTACAAGGCTGTTCTTTGCTCATGTCCTGGTGCAAGTTTGGGTTGTGGCCAGGTCACACTACTGGATCGGGAAGTCAAGAGTGCTTTTAATTTCACCCACAGGAAGTGAAGTGATTTGGGTTTTAGTCTGTTTTCGTTTAGATTGAAATACTTGGATGTTTTCATTAGCAGGAGTTCATTTTAAGATAAACATGTTGTAATACAAGCACTGAGTCAAGCTTTTTGCAAACTGCTGGCTGTGAAAGCTGTCTGAGTAGGAATAATGTGAAAATAATTGTGCAAAATGGGAGCTGTACAGTTGTGACAACATTCTGTTTGTTTGTTGCTGCTTTCCACAGTCCTTTGCCTCTTTGCTGGAGCTTTGCTTAGCTGTGCAAGACACAATAAGAGCAATATTTAAAACCATAATACAACTATTGCGAACTATAGGATTTATTTGGTCCATTGAACCAATGAAATTTTACCATTATTTGTCCTGTTTTATTGTAGGTGTAAATTATTATAAACCTCCTAAATTACCTCATTGTATAATAAAAAGCCATAATTTCTTATACATGTTAATTCTTTTAGTGTTCATTTTGATTACACAGTTGCAAGCCTCAGAGAATTATCTTTTTATTGTGATCTTCATTTTCAGACACTATGTGCTGTAAGTGTGCAATTTATCAGGAGGAAAAAGGCAGAGGATAAAACACAAATGCCTTATGCCAATATAAAACTTCTCTTTGATGGAAGTTCTATATGAAGATTTTCAGGGTCTAGCCCAGCTCCTGCTGAAGTCAGTGGGAGTGTTTCCATTCCTTTGCACTGGGAAAAACCCAAAGCTTGGCACATGCTCATTTAAAAGATTGCTGCAGTCACTTTTTTTTTTTTTCTTTTGTGCTTACATTTAAAATATTTTATGCACACTGATTAACTGGAACACCAACTGCCTTCATAGTTTTCCTTGGCCAACACCGTGAGGGAAGAAGCTGATGAGCCATTTCCCTTGCTATTTTACCTTGAGCCTGGATCTCTAACAGACTTGAAACATCTGTGCTGAGTGTTGCATGGAAGGAGCAGTTTCTGGAAGCAGCTGACATTGTAGAATTACTGCACCACTCAGTATATCTTCTGTTAATAGAAGCTAGTATTTCCTTAAAAAAACACAGCACACATCAGGGAAAGATGTAGGCTTTCTCCTTCATCAGGTCTTGCAAACATCATCGGAGTACAGTCTGTTATTATTCCTGCTGTTCAGATGTTCTTATGATTAATTTCATAGGGTTTGTCCTTTTAATGAATAGCGCTAGAGTGAAAGAGGATTATATCTTCCATACTTTGTTTCTCTGAGAATGATGATCACATAGTAGGCTTTTGTAACCTGTCTTTGGAGTCCTTTCAAGATGCTGGGATTCCCCTGTTTTGCCTATGACCCCTTTGGGGACATTGCTACTGAATGCAGGCAGTTTTGTTTCTTTCTATGGATTGGTTACAATGAAACCCAAGAGTGCAAAAGTTTATTGCTGATTTTGCTCAACAGAGTTACTGAGACAGAACGAGACAAAACGTGTTTGAAAGAAAGTGGGGTGGTCTATTCCAGGGATGATGACAGTAGTGTTCCTTGAAGGGTCTGAGTGAAGCTAGCTGTTCTTTCCTTTCTGGAGACTGAGATTTCATGAGACATGTTAGATAGAGACCACTCCTAGAGATCAAGCAGCCATTGGAATCATTTTCCCGGGGAAGTGATGGAATCTCCAATGTTGGACATGTTTAACATTCAACTGGAGAGGGTTTGGGGCTATCCTGTCTAAACTGTGCTTTTAACAAGAAAGGTTGGACCAAATGAGCCTTGAGGTAATATCCAATCTGGTATTCTGTGATTTTATGATACCTGCCAAGGCTTTTCTGCATCTCTGCAAGGTGGAAAAACTGATACTTAGGAGTATCAATTCACCTATTCCAGTGTCTGATTTTCTTAATGTGCTGCAGCCAGTCCTCTCTGTTTCTATGGGCAAAGCCCAACCATTTCTTTTCGTAGCTTCTGACAGAGACTTCTTCTTGAAGAGCCACAGTATATGGTATGGGCCAACTTCTCATTCCTGCCTATGTTCCCATGGATACAGCTCCTGTGCAAAGTTCTAAGATCTCACTATATTAGACAGGTTTGCTTTACAAGTGCATGGAAGTACTGCACTGCAGTGGATTTCAAAATGTGTCCACTGAGAAAAATATTACTTATGAAATACATGTTCTTCTAAAAAAAATAAAAGAGAGGGAGAAGGACACTTCACCTGTGTGCTTTGGTTTTGTTTTGTTTGTTTTTTTTCCTAATACATTGGCAAAGAAATCTTCGACCCCTCTTCTGTAGAGTAGATTTTTAATTTTTTTTTTTCAATATGAAAGTTTATTGTTCCATAATCTTAATTCAGCTTCAGGAAATCAGTCTATTTCAGAGTCTGAAAAATCCACTTAACAGCACTGATACCACTTTCCTTTCAAAGAATGCAGAGTGCTGCAGTGTACTGCATCTGGAAAAAGAAAAAAGTTATCGCTACTAATTTCTACTCCATTTTACATTTATTGGAATTGCCTCCTGGCTTGTGTTGTTTTGCTGAAGATGCTTGTCAGTAATAGGCACTTTGCTAATCATTGTTAGCCGCTGCTCAGTGCAGAGGGGTATTTTCAGTAGTTGCAGAAACAGCACTGTAAACTCGCTGGCAGTGGCAGTAGATGTGGTGTAGGACAGACCCACACCTGTTTTACGTCAGAGATTTTCTAGCAATAGTACAAAAGCAGCAGATATGCCATAATGATATTAAAACCAAGAGCAATAATCTTTCCCTCTTTCAGCAAGGGCTGCCAGGAAGCTATCAGCTAACCCTATTTCAGCACTTGTTACAGAGAGAATAAGTCAGGAGATCCCACTGCTGACCATCATTTCTAGCTGTGCGTTGTTCCTAGATTTCAGACAGCCTCCTGGTATCCAAAGCCAGCTGTGTTTAACATTCCTGCTGCTTCTCCTAGCAGCTTTTGCAAGCAACAGCTGAGTGAAGTTAGCAGGGCTGGGTCAGGGCAGGTTGAACAGTGAAGTTATGGTTTCGTTGGGTGCAGTAATTATCCATGTGTCATGGGTTTGCTCTGGGCCAAGTTGCTCTCACACCCCCCACACAATTGCTTTAAGTTGAGAGAAGGTTTATGCAGGCAAAAGAGACCTGATTGGGGAGAATAATATTAGGATTTATTACTAGCAAGATCAAAACTAAAGAACTATGTATATTACAATTCTAATCAGGCAAAAGTACTATGTATTGACAGAAATACTCCTCCCCTCGTTGTATCAGTTCAGTGCCACGCCTGCCCCCAGCCCAGGGGAGGAGGGGGGCCCTGGCCACTTGGGGTCTGTGGCCTTTCCTGCATGGCTACCAATTTCAACTGTGCAACAACCTTCTCTTCTGTTTTCTTAAATATGTAATTAGCAAAGGCGTTACTAAAACTTTTGATTGGCTTTTTCTCTGGAAATCCACCTGGACAAAACCATTTTCAGCCCCAGGGGATTGCTGGTGGGCAAACCCATGACACCATGATACCTTCACGAGCATTTATCTGAAATGTTGATGTGGAGCATGAATATCACTGATATCCAGAGTCATGTTCCTTATGGGCTCTGTGCTTTTTCTTCTGATGAGGGACGTGATGCCCTTTCTTTATGAGTTAGCAGGGGTAACTCAAGAGTATGAACTCTTTCTTCCACACTCTCAGAGTTCTTCCTGGCATCTCTTGACTAGGATTGCCCAGAAGAGCTGCAGATGCAGGCATAGTTTAACTTTTTCTGAATTGAAATTCTCTTACACTGGCTTCCTATACTGATCGTACTTTCTCAGAATCTTAAGGCTAGCAGGGACAGGATAGGGCACAAAAGCCAAAGACACGTGCCCATCTTTTTCCAGCAGTGGCTGCTCCTTCTGGATCTCCTGGCAGACAAGTTAACATGATCAGTCTCAATTCACAGCTAGCTGGTTAGCAGAAACCTTTTAAATTAGTGTTTTGATTTAATCCAGCTGATTTTGCATGTATTACATTGGACTAGCTCTTGCAAAGCACTCTACCAGAGGGTCAGAGGGGAGTGATGCTGAGTAGTGTGGAAACTGTGACCCCTTGCCCAAGCCGTATCTCACTTATATGGGGGGATTTGAACCCTTTTACCAGGAAAGCAAAAGCTTTTATAGCCAGGGCTTGAGAATATGGTTAGCATGGCAGTAACCATACCATATGTTGCCTCTCTGTTTTTGCAAAGCTAGTGTTTAAGTATTGTTCCAGAATTTACCAGAGTGTTTTGCATCCCTGGGATAAAATTGTCCTCTTTCTTAACTGGTAAGAAAAAAATATGTACAGCTCAAGCTATCAGACTTCACTGTTTAATTTAATTTTCTTTTTCTGTGAATGTTCAATGAAAACCACAACTTCTCTGCTTCCCTAGGGATTAGTAAAGAACAGTATTTTTTTCAGGTCAGAGGTTGTTAGATCTATCTAATATCCCCCTGCTCATAGCAGATAGGAATTGAAGGCTAGACTGTTGATCCAGGGATCCTTTTCTCTTGG